CAGTGACAGGAAACGGAGGCGTACGCCTGAGTCACAACGGTACGTATCCACCTAGAGATGGTAGCCGCCGACGCGGCCCGACCCTTACGAGTACCCTCCGTGAGCACGAACAGGGAGTCGGTAGCTTATTTGGAAGCCGTAGCTTCCAAATAAACACGAAGAGCGCGAACCACATCCAAACAGTGGAGTGCACGCTCCTTCCTATGGACCGGCTTCGGACACAGGGAAGGTAAAGCCGGCTGCGCTCCGTCTCCGCACTTCGAGAACAGGCTAGAATATGCTTCTACCGAGACTTGTATACGGGGTGAGCTTTTGTGAGTGTCCAGGGAAGTTGCTTGCACACGTTACCCTGACGCGTTTCGTCCCCACAAAGGGGCTTCCTCAGAGGGGCGTGTGTCTTGTATTTTGCATGGATGTGTTAAATAGCTCGTTAATGAGGCTAATAGACTGCCAAATTTCACAGTCAGCGAGCCATGTCGTTTTTCAAAAGGTGTACTTTTGGTATTGCATATACTTTAATATAATGTAATGGCACCTGTGGAGCCTTAAATAACATTCCTAAGTCCCTTTACCCATACATAATCACAAGTGTACATATATTTTGACTAATGTATAGTAATAAAGGAATAAACTTTAGACATCATGTATGTCCATATGGACTGGAAGGAACCTCCTGATGTTTAAAAAGGATGAAGTTTAGACGGGCCACTCATAAGGTCACATTAAGGGGTAATAGATGATTTCTACTATTATAGCTTAAATCAAAGCATGGGTTTCAGAATCACATAGAGCTATATAGGTACGGAACAGGTATACTTAAACTTGTTAAACTTACCGCCCTTGTCGGAGGACGAAAAAGCCGCTTGTGAGCGGAGAAAGTAGGCACAGGCCTACGGCGCTGCTCCTTCCTGCGCGCCTGGGGAAGGAAGGTACTCTTACCCCCTGCCAGATCCTCAATGATCCCATCCAAGGTGGAACCAAACAAACGGTCCCCAGTAAAAGGCAACACCTGTAGAGCCTGTTTGGAAGCCATATCAGCCGACCAGCATTCAAGCCAGAGCAAACGGCGAAGTTTCACCGCCGACACCTTGGACACCAAGGGCGCCGCATCCAAGGCCGAATTGCAGACATAGCGAAGGCCTTGCACCAACTGGTCCGCCAATTCCACGAAAACGGGGGAGACATTCTCCTCCGCAAGCCCCTGATGTAACATCTTAGCCCACTCAAAGTCTGAGAGACCAAAGCAGACGCCAAGACCGGACGCATGAGCGCGCCCGAGACAGAGACCACAAAAGCGCCTCAGCCTTCCTATCGAAAAGGTCCTTAAAGGACGGAGAATCCTCCACCGGAATAACCGTGGCCTTGATTAAAGGCAGAACGCCTACTCTTATGCGTCCCAAACTGCACGTGCGGCAGCGCGGACGTGCTGGCAACGTCCTCAATTTTAAGGGTCTCCCTGACAGCGCGGAGACCAATTCACGTTCCTGGATCATGGAGAGTAGACGCAGCCTCATCCTCACTGGCCGAAACAGGATGTGAGGAATCACCCGGATCAGGATGAGGCGACGTCGCAGGAAGTTCCCCCTCCTCTTCAGACTCCCCTGACAAGGCAGGGGATGACAAGGGTAAAAGCCCGCTTTCCAGGTGGGCGCTGTGTCAAGGCGCGCTCCATGCGCGTTACAAACCCGTCCATGACAGAGGAAAAGGACTTCAGGGACAATGCGGTACCACCCACCCACCCCCACCTGAAGAACCAGAGGGACGCACGGGCGACTGGCAAAGCAGTGCAGGCGTACAGGACGCACAAGAGGGGATCTAGAGGGGTCCGCAGAGCGCTGCCCACAGCCCACACAAGGCAATGTAGGGGCGTCATCCCTGCGATCATTGCACACCCGCACAAAAGCACCCCACCGACTGCAGACCACCAGGCAAGGGAGATGGAGACAGGGACCCCGCTACTCACGACCCCCAGCGTCCATGTCCCAGCCCAGCCGTCCGACTCCGCAAGGCAGAGGAGAGCTGCACACTGTGTGTCCTTCCGTCAAGGCGTCCGGGGCCGAAAGGAACACACTCCCCATCCGCCCGAGGCTGAAGGAAGCCCGGGCGGAAGTGACAAAGGAGAAAGGGCAAAGTTGCCCTCATCCAAGATGGCGGCCGCGGAGCCGCCTGGAGGCCGCAATGAGACCGGGGCCTCAATTAGTGGCCGTGGCCGCCGAGCGAGCGGCGACGGCCGCGGATGTTGTTCAAAACGAAAGGAACGGCCACAGCAGCTCCACAAGAGCCATAGACCCCTCGGATGCCCATCCAGGAGCCCAACGATGACCACGGGCCGAAGCCTGAGCATCCAGAGGCAGGAAGGGCGCCTGCCCACATCCAAGATGGCGGCCGCCGAACCGCATGGAGGCCTTAATCAGACCGGGGCTTCGAGTAGCGGCCGCCAAACGAGCAGCGTCAGCCCCAGAAGCTTCCCCAGAGCCTAAGTCCCCACCAAGGCAGCCGCACAGGAGCCCATCTACGGCCCACTGAAGCCCAAGCACCATGAGGCAGGGGGGAGGGGGGAGACAGGAGGCCGCAGCTGTGAGAGAACAGCGCAGCCAAATCTTACCTCAGCTCCAGGTCCCCACGACACATCAACCGCAGACCCCACATACATACCCCCGCGGAGCGAAGGCCGGACTCCACAACTAGGATCCAGGACGAGTAGGGAAACGGTAGGAAGACGCCCCCGACCGTAGCGGCGTCACCAGCCTGAGGGGAGCGCTGTGACAGGCAGGCCCGGACCCCCTGTCATATGCACTCCACGGGACGAACCCACAGGCGTCAGGGGGGACCACATGTCGCAGCCGACCCACCGTGGCAGAGTCTGCATGCACTCGACGGTCACCCAGGGGAGACTACAAGGATCTACAGTCATCCAGCATGTCGCCCTGGGGACACTTGCTAGAAGAAATCGAGTCAAACGGAAGAAGGGAAAAAAATTTCTCCAGAGAAATTTTTTTAGCTCCTTACTCCTGACGCTAGGCAAAAAACTGGAGACTTGTCAGCAGGTGGGGGGTTTGGCCACCGGAAGGGGCCGCCCCTAGGCTGTAATTGGTCTTTAGTTTTGTGCCTAGCGTCCTTCTCCTGCAGGTGGCGATATTACCCTACCATTCAGGATCTACGATCTGTTGCCTGTGTCCTTCAATGAACGGGAGAGAAAAAAACTTGTCTCACACTAGTTTTTTTGCTTGACTGTTTTGGTGCAGTGATGCATGGGGGCTGCCATCTCAGCTGCCATTGGGATGTGCGGGATCCCTTGTGCGTCTCTGTGCCTTTAAGGGGGTTGGGCTTCCTCCTGACAAACCTGCAACCAATTTTATCTTCTGCCCATGTGCTCCAAGATGAAGGCTCTGAAAGTTTAGAGTTAGGACCGCACTATAAGAGGTGCATTGGCGCGGCTGTGCGGCTTTCACATTTTCTGCAGAAGACATGTATCCAAACCTCTGTTTTTAACCTTAGTGTGAGACAAGTTTTTTTTACATGCTAGCTTGTGAGTGTACCAGGAAAACTTTTTGCTATTTTACTGTTTAAAGCCCATTCCGTGTGCACCTTACTGTAAAGCTGATGACGAGTTGATGAGTGCGTTTGCCATCTGTTTTGCTTGACATTGGGAAAATAGACACCAAACATGTCAAGCTTTAAAATTACATGCTCCCGCGAAAATCGGAAAAAAAAAAACTGCCCATAGGTGATGCTTTAAAAGCTTTTACATAGTTACATAGTATTTGAGGTTGAATAAAGACATAAGTCCATCAAGTCAAACCTAGCGGCATACCCATAATTGTATAACCCATTTGCCTATTTTTAATGCCAAAGTGCATAACTTTGCATTTATGGACATTAAACCTCATCTGCCACATAGTTGCCCCCCCCTATTTTATCCAGGTCCTCCTGCAATGTTACACTATCTTGCCCTGTTTCTATTACGCTCCCAATTTTGGTATCGTCAGCAAATACTGAGATATCGCTGTTTACTCCATCCCCGATGTCGTAAATAGGTTGAAAAGCATGTGTCCCAGCACAGAACCCTGAGGCACACCGCTAATGACACTAGCCCAGTCTGAAAGGGCGCCATTGATACTCTCTGTACCCGTTCCTTTAGCCAGTTCTCTATCCATGTACACACCCTTCCATCTATGCCCATAGCTCTCAGCTTGTATAGTGTTTGTGTGGTACCGTATCAAAAGCCTTTGAGAAATCCAGATATACCACATCCACAGACCTCCCTCCACCCAGATCTCTACTTACCCCCTCGTAAAAAGTCAGTAGGTTAGTCTGACAGGAACGGTCTTTCCTAAACCATGCTGATTGTTCAGGATAATGGTATAGTTAATGACAAATTCTACCAAGTAGTCCTTAATCATTCCCTCTAACAGTTTACAAACTACCGATGTAAGACTAACTGGTCTGTAATTCCCAGGTTGGCATCTTGCCCCTTTTTTAAATATTGGAACTACCATAGCCCTCCGCCAGTCACTCGGAACTCTACCAGTCATTAGAGAGTCCTTAAAAATGAGGAATAATAGTGGTTATAACCTTGCTTCGTTCCTTAAGTATCTTAGGGTGCAGATTATCCGGTCCCAACGCTTTATTTGCATTAAGTAGACTAAGTCTTTGTTGTATCCCGGATTCCGTCAACCACTTGGCTATATTTTGTGATGAACTCTGTGTTTTATCATGGGCGTCAAACGCTGCGCGCACAGGTGGGTGGCCCTGTTACATCCAAGAAGCTCCAGGCTGGCCATTACAGCCTGCCGGGAATCGGTTAAGCCACAAAAGCAAACATTTTAGATTTCACCAACAAAGGGTCACCTATTGTAATAATATCATGGAATTCTGTATTTGCAATAGTTGAGTTATTTAATTCTATCAGAAATAGCCACTAATATGTACTTGTAGCTACAATGCTATCGCTTACGCCAAGGCTGCATTGGGCTGGATTGCCAAAACCTTTAACTTACCTTGGAGTGGGTTGGAATGTCAAAATTTATCACAACATCCACATGTGGAATATCTAATCCACGACTTGCAACATCAGTGGCAAGGAGAACGGAGCGAGATTTTGCCTTGAACTTATTCAAAGCTCCCAGTCTTTTGTTCTAGAGGGGAAAAAATGTGTCATATTAAGTGCACAATTAAAACCTTGGTTCTGAAAGTACAATGTTACTGGTGCATTATGATAATATGTAAACCAACCCTTGTTTTAATGTTCTATTTTGGTAAAGCACCAACTGAATCAAAGGGAAGGTGGTGTGAACAATCCCTTCCGGAGTATTAAAAATCCCTTTTCGTGCATGAATATAGGTCAAGCGTAATTGAGTGATTGCATGTGATGAACGTTTCCTTGGACGGTGTCTATCCACAATATTGAGTACCATGGTCTAGGGAAAGGGTAGGTAAACTCCGGCCTGCCAGCTGTGGTGAAACTAAAGATCCTATCATGCATCTGCATCTTGGAGTCATGCCTGTGCAAAGGCTCATGGGATTTGTAGTTCCACAACAGCTGGAAGGCCAGAGTTTGCCCACCCCTGGGCTAGGGTGAGAGCCACAGTATAACCCAGGTTGCCTCTTAGGAAAAAAGAGAACCAAATTCCAGTATTGACAGAGGGATTTCTCCCCTGCTAACATGAATAGGTGAAATAATCCCAGAGGCACATGCATGATTGGATTTGTAGTTTCACGACAGCTGTCTGAAAGAAAATACAAATGTTTTATTGTTCTAAAACAGTCTTAAATTAAAGTTCTTCATAATCCTAAAGAAATTGGCCTAAAATCATTAGTCTGCATAGTTTCAAAAAAATGTCACCTGTCCCTTTAAGAAAAAGTATCGGTAATTGGTATCGGCAAGTACATGAGGGGAGGTACTTGTACTTGAAGAAGTGGTATCGGGACATCCCTAGTTGAGTCTCATAATCATTTTCCAAGAGAGCTAAAAGTAGCATTGCCCATTAAAAGAGAAGTGTGCGGAGAGTCAAACCTACTAGGAGTAGGACACTGCAGCTGTCACATGCTGGCTTTATACGGAGAGCTGAGTGATCATCTAACTGCTAATTGATCAGATCACGGTCTCTTTTTCCCTGCAAATTCTGACAACATTGTTGAGATCCTTCCTGGCTGTGGCACAACTCTGTGCTGTTAGCAGATAGAGGTCATTAGCCCGTTTTCTACTAACTCTTGGTTACTGGAATACATTAGTAAATGTACTCATGTGGAAAACAAGTGGGTCCTTATAGTTTGTTACAGAAGAAGGAATTTACAGCCTTACCTTTTTCCCATGTTGAAACTACATATTCAAAATTTCCTGCAATAATGCATCTCCACAATATAACCCTTTGGAGTTGCAGCAGCTATCTTGAGCCCACCTATTTTCCTGTCTGAATGACCTCCATCACTCATCAATCACATCTCCCACAATCTATACCATCGTTGGCCCCCCTACAACTTATTTTAGCTACCCCTCCCCTTGAGCTTTATGTGAAATAACACACTCATTTAGGGCTAGTTCACAACAAGTGCAGAGCAGTTACAGAATGTATCAAAACTGAATCCAATGCATTCCAATGGTATTATGGGCTCTAGTTCACACCAGAGCGTTCAGTTCCAGAGCATGTGAAAAAACTGCAGCATGCCCTACTTTTTCGGCTCTGGAACACACCAAAACGCACGCAAACGCCCTGGCACGCACAGAAAGCCCATTTTAAGCTTATTGGGTTTTTTTCAAAAACGGCCCGCAACACGGCAAAAACACACTGCACTGCATGTGCAGAAACTCATGCAGATATGGTCCACATTTGGTGTGAACAAGCCCTGAGACATGCCTGCAACCAGAGTCGCAACAACACTAACACTGGATAGTCACAGATCACATACATGATTTATGTAGCTCTTTAAAACAACCACACATGAAAACATATCTTTAGAAATTAGTTACCTGACTCATTTGTCCATGAAGCGGAATGGCAGTAAAACCAAGGTTTCGCAGTAAGAGGGATACTCTCTGAGTGTTGTTGCATGTGCTGCAGAATATCATAAAGGAGTTTCCAGCCAGCTCATTTAAAATGTACACTAAATAACTGTCCTGGATAAGGAAACAAGAACAACAAACTTTTAGGTAATGAGAATTTGCTTACCAACTTAAAAGGACCCAAGAATCACAAGCATGACACAATTCATGTAATTTATCAGTGTGCAAAACAGGAAATGCATACCCCTGAAACACCAAGATGCACGCTTTTCATACAGAGACCCCGTTACCAACTTAAAGTGCAGGTAAAAGCACAGAAAAAAATCTTGCTATGGGACCTGTTTTTTTTTTTACAACAGCCGGCTGGGAGGTGGTTAAAATAGCCAATAGTAGGCTGGCTATTTCTCTCAGTCGCTGGATGGGAAACTTTATGACGGTGTTAGATCATTCCATCGCACCCGTGACTTTATCAGACTTCTGGGGGGGTGTGCGGGGGCTACCGCCGGCAGAAGAGGGGGGATGGGGTCAGCAGAAGAGGAACCAGGAGCTGCTGCAGGAGGAAGAACGGGGCACGGCAGCAAGGGGAATGCAGAGGCACAGCGGTCTCTACTCACTGCTGGGTGCCGGCAGCAGTGCTCTGTGTCCCCTCTGATTGAAGGGGACACAGACCTGTCAGGTGCTCGTCTGCCCAGCACCTATTTTGTAGCTGTGGGGATTTGAACTGGCATAGAAGTACTTTGCCATAGAAGGCATTGCCTTTCAGCCACCTGCTGGACTCACCTTTGCACTGCAGGTTTCTCTTCCGCAGCTTTTTCTCTGGACTCTTGCTCCACCTGCTTGCCAGCTGCAGTCAATCCACAATCATCTCAGCCTTTAAATACTGAGCATTTCCTGTGCTCTGAGCCTATTTATTTGGGTTTGTTCCCGTGTGTACTGCTGCTGGATTGATCGCTGAATATTACTGAGACTTTGGCCTGTTTCCTGGTCAGGAAATAGGCCAAAGTCTCAGTCACTCTTCTGCCTGCTGATTTTATACCTTGCTGCCTTGTTCATGTTAGACCTTGGCCTGTTTCTCAACTACTCTCCTGGATCCTGACTTTGTACTTCACTGCCCTTATCCTCAGCCTCACTCCACTTCGGACTCTACCTTTCCACAGGCAACTCACAAGTGAAGAGGAGCATGGAGAAGCAGAGTGACGGCGGCAGCAGGGGGGGGTTCAACTAATTGGAATAACTGATTATGAGAATAGTTCACAATGATTCTCATTATCGATTATCATAGATTAGTTGTTGCAACCCTACAAAACCTTTCTACATTGGTATGTGCCCTCACTGTTGTCTAAGAGACAATTATTCTGTTTAGAAATCCTTTTTCAGAGTTTGGTGGGTGCTATATTTGATATTTTGTGCTTTTCTGAAAATATTCTTAGGTTTAGGAGAAAGGAACGGACCTAATTTTGGTTATTAAGCAGAAGATACCATTTTTTTTAATGCAATGTTAAATGGCTTTGCATTTATGTTTTAATTGGTTTATAAAACATACAGTGTTGGGTTCTCCTTGTACAGCTCAATTTTTTTTTTCTTTTTCGGTACTGTTGAATGATATTCGATGAAAGCTGCGCCAATGTTTTCTGTGGGGTAGCTTTTTTCACTGAATGCATGGCTAAAAGGTACAAGCCTAGGGTAATATAGTCCTTCTTAGTGCAATGTTTCACAATCTGCTGAATTGGCTCTTCAATACATTACTTTTCCAAAGGGGGTGATGGCAACTATGATAAGGTAAATAGGAATTTCCACCTGTGGTTTAAAGTGGTTCTTGGTTACCATCTGGTTGTCCTCATGGGAAAGTTCTAGATCCAGAAAAAAATAGGATTTTTGTACTCACCGTAAAATCCTTTTCTCTCCGTTCATTGAAGGACACAGGGCAACAGATCGGAGATCCTGAAAGGTAGGGTATATCGCCACCTGCAGGAGTAGGACGCTAGGCACATAACAAAAAAAGACTTAGACAGCCTAGGGGCGGCCCCTGCTGGTGGCCCAACCCCCCACCTGCTGACAAGTCTCCAGTTAGTAACAAGCAGTTAGGAGTGCATACCCAGAGAAAGAGGGCGGGACCTGTGTCCTTCAATGAACGGAGAGAAAAGGATTTTACGGTGAGTACAAAAATCCTATTTTCTCTCCCGTTCATTGAAGGACACAGGGCAACAGATCGGAGATCCTGAAAGGTAGGGACGTCACCAAGCAGTAACCAATGAGGGATGGGCTAAACAACAACGAAACCCAAAAAAGAACCACTCAAAGGGCCGCCTGCAAA